ATGAGAAGAGCTTGTTTTGGGGCAATGGTGTTGCTTTCCCTAGCCTGAGGCACTACAGTGAGATATTTTTGACTAGAAAAGGGAACAGATTATCCAAAACTCATGCATAGATTCCTAGAATATTGGAGCTGGAAGGGTCCCTGGGGAAACTTTTGCCTACCATCTGGCTATCAGATGAAGAAACTAGAGCTCAAAGAGATAAAAGGAAAGGGTTGTCCAAGAACACACAGTGGGTTCGTGCAGAGCCAGAGCTAGGGAGGCAAGGACAGTGAAGGGAGGTGGAGGGAGGGGGATATGGGAGGGGGGAGGGAGAAGGGGGGGCAGACCTGCCTCTGGTTCCCAGTTCATGCTCCCCACTGCTCTGTGCTCTGATGCAAGAGATTTAATGATGAAATGGAAAAGACTTTTTTCCAGTGAACTTTAAGCCAGAGACTAAAAATATTTCTGATATACTATTCTTTAGGAGGAAAAAAAAAGTCTCTCCAACTCTCTGACTCCATCAACCAATTAAACCTTTGGCTTCCTCTCAAAAAGAGTATTTAAATTAATCAAAATGAAACTCTAATTTACCCTTTTCCTCCAAGCAGCAGTTTTCTACTAAAAAGAATGAGAGTGGTATGCTGGGGACAGAGAAATGTCTTGGAGAAAAGAATAAAATCTACTGAATTTCTCAGTCACCCGAGACTCCTCAACCATTTGTCATTCACTCAGCAAGTATTTATGAAATGTTTATTCATTCAGTAACCCCATACCAAGCTCCTACTGTATGCATTCTAATCACAGTGAGGGGCACAAATATGAATCAGGTGTGAATTCAGCCTTTAGGACTTTTCACTATCAAGTTTCATTGATACCATTTATTAATGTGGGAAGACAACATTTATATAAATCATTGCCATCCTACCCACGGCTGGCCCAAAGTAAGTTCTTAGTCCTAGTAAGCCTCATTCCAATGAATAAATGAATGGATGATTTTGATGTCTATTACAGTTCAGTGCTAACGAGAATCCACTGGGGCTAAGACAGAGTTTCTAGGATTTAACTGGAAGTTGGGCGCAAGGATAAGCTGCAGAAAGAAAGTCCAATGATTGGACATCGAGGATTAGAAGTGCTCCATCCTGCTCCAGAGGGCTCAGTTCCCTGTCTTATCATGAATGCATAAATGAGTTTTGAGGAAACTTCCAGCAACAGCATTTGATACCTCTATGATCCTGGTTCCTGGTATTTCATGGGAATTTAAAAACAACCTCTCTTCTTAAAAAAATAACTATTGAATCACTGTCCCTCTGCCTTCACAAGGTCATGCCCTTTGTTTCTGTGGATTTCTCATGGGAGATGGGAGAAGGGAGGGAATCTGATTCCAGCTTTGATTGACCTTCTTTTCAGTTAAAACAACAGAAAAAAATGTCTAATCATCCCCCTGACAATTACACGTCTGCACATTTCACCACAGGCAAGGACAGCAGCCCAACAGCAGAAAACTGGCCACAGACCGGGAATGCACACACGCAAGGTATTATCTGCTTGGAGACAGGCTGGCCCGTGACGGCCCCCATGAGTCAGGGGGACCAGGAGGCTCCTCACTAGCAGGCCAGGGAGGATGCAGGAGGTGGCTGCCACCAGCTACTCTGCACCCACCCCTGGCTCTTCTCTGACTCCAAACTGCACAGAAACCGTGTAAGGAGAATGCTTCACTCACAAGGAGAGGTCTCAGACGAAGCTGTGTACCTGCAGCAAATCCAAGTCTGATGTAGTGACTCATGAAATTAGTTCCAGGAGGGAAGGGACCATGCCAGCTTCTGTCACCAACATGTCCTGAAGCCCATAAGCACCAGACAAGACACATGATAGCACTCAGTGCATATTTGTAGAGGAATGCTGGTGAATGCCCCCACGGACACTGCGTGAAAGACAGACTGCAGAGAGTACTGGCCAGCTCTCGACTCCAAGCACCATCTGGAGACGAGTATCCAAGCTCTGTTCCTCATCAGCTCTGTCTACAGGAAAGTCACAACCCCCCCCCCCAAACCTCAGTTTCCTCATAAGTTGGAAGTCGGGGCTTGCCACCTGAGGAAAGGACTTATTGCCTCAACTGTCAGTCCCTCCAGATAATGTCTCAAAGGCACTTCAACTGAGGTCGCACCTGCCTCGAGCTGCCCACTCTAATGGCAGGACAGGTGGGACATAAAGTTGCTGGCTGCTATGGCCAATGAACGACAGCTCTGATTCCTTCCTCTCCCTTCCACAGGTGTTGATCCCAAAGGCACTCCCTAGGAACCACCCCAAACTCTGAACTCCATCTCAAAGGTTGTGGGTGACCTCTCATTTGCAAAATAGAGCTGAGTATACATGTGGGCTGTTGTGCAGACTGGGTTATTGTATAAGAAGCACTCAGTTCAGAGGAGGAGGGAGAGGGATCAGAGGGAGGGAGGGAGGAGCACAGGGGACTGAGGTGATGGTGCACGGGTGCATTGGGGAAGGAAATTCTATGGGGACTACACCAGAGGGGGTGGGGGGAAGCAAATATTGTTTTAAAATGAACAATGATGTGAAAAATAAAAATTTTTTTAAAAAAGCACTCATTTCAGCAAGTGCTGGATGAGACTGAACCAAATCTGTCTGGGAGTTAAGAAAACCAGATCACTGATCAGTATCCCCACCTTTCCTGTCAGGAACCCAGAAAAAAAAATGTCAAGGTGTCCAGACTGATCTGTGGGTAAGAGAAGTAGTAGAAAGGAAAGAAGGCAGGGAGCAGGGGAACATCTGGACATGGCCCTATGCGCGCCCCTCAGACTGGCCTCCAACTCACCCCGCAGGAATCTAGCCACAGAGAAGGTGAAATCAAAGGACCGGGTATTAGGGTCCCTGTAGAAAATGAGGCTGTCTGATGGTGGAGGGCACAGCCTGAGCATGTGCAGATGGGGGCCACCTCATTGACCACCATGGTTAAATTCCAGCACCACGCCCTAGTCTAGAGCCAACAGAAGCCTCAGTACCCCTGGATGCAAAGATGGGAGCTCAGAGAACAAGAAGATAAATATCTCCTGCTAGCCAGAGAGCTGATCTCCTGCCCCCCTCTACTCCTACCAATAAGCCCTTGAACCTCCAGGGAAGTACTTGGGTCCCAATTTGTAATAGCAAGTGTTTTCACTGATGAGGATGATAGGGAAGGTTTTGTCCATGTTATTGTGATGGCCTAGGGGACAGTGGGCTGTGCACCATGAAGTGTCCCGGGCCCTAGAGAGGCCTTCTTCTAGGACCCCAGCACTAACACAACCTTTTAAAACAACAGTTGCTGCTCCCCTGTCATAAAAGATAAAACTGATGCTTGTACAGTTTATGCAGCAGCCGAGGTGACATGATTAATAAAAAGCAGAGAGGGGTTGAGCAGCTCCAATTCTAAAACCTATATGCTTTCAACCACTTATGCCCACATTAAAGTTTCCAAGAGTAGGATTTTGTTTTTTGGCTCATTTATTTGATTATTTTTAATTATGAAAGCTTCTCAGGAGATTCAGATTCAATTACAGTTGAGAACCCTGTCTCATCCCTCTTGTTGCCCACATCCATTCAGCGTGGGATCCCAGCCCAGGTGCCCCCTGCCCTTCACTCCTTCAAAAACCCACATCTAGAAAAGGTCCTTCTGATGTTATTTACTCATAAGAGTCTCAAACAAGGGTCTAACCCATATGATTCACCCAAGGGGGCTGGATGGTTCCACGCAAGCGGACTGAATTTATTTTGTACACTGAAGTGAACAATGGTACTAGAGAGTGAAATTCAGTTTCAGTAAAACACAACAGAAAGAAGTCAATTATCCAGCATTAATTATTTATCTGTGGACAATAACCACGGTGTTATTCCCCACTAGAAGCACTTCTGCAGCTTGGAACAAGCGGAAAGGAGAGGTGACTGCTATTGTCTGTCCATAATGCAACATCAGATTGGACAAATTAACCCCTCTGACATCCTGTAAATACACTTAAGCTTTCTCTGTGAACTTGGCCCGTGCACATGGCCCGGAACACACATGCCTAATAGGCCAGTAGCTTATATTCCAGTAATGTTCGAGGTAGGCCTGCCTGGCAATGCCGGACTGTGACCATGTTAAAGGACCTACCTCCTTCTCTCTGCAGCCCTCCCTGTCCTATCAGAATTGTAAGACTGAAGACATTCTAAACATTTTCTCAAGTGGCAGTGTCCGTGGCCATCCAGATCTCTCAGAGTCATATTATTCTAGGGTTTTCCTCTCAAGGTATTTGCTGCACAGTACCACTTAAAAACCATCTTCTGCCTCCAAAGAATAATTATCTGATTTCTAACTCATTTTTATGAAATTTCATTTTTTTTATTTTTAAAACTTCTGTGGAGGTTGGAAGTGGGAGAGACAGATCAGTGATTCCCAGAGGCTAAAAGAGTGCCAGGAACTGATTAACTCGGTCCTAGACTATCTAGTCTAGGGACCTATTCTGCATCTGACGAAGTTAACACCAACTGAGCCATTCTTTTGTGCATGCAGGTGCTTTATACATAATCTTTATAAATGCCCATGGTGACCCAGAGGTGGAAACACAAATGTCTCCATTCCACAGATGAAGAAACTGAGGCACCAGGGCCTAGGAAATAAGCATCAGAACCAAGAATCAAGTTGAGGCAGCCAGGACTCCTCGCCGCCATGGCCACAGCTTCCCGGCCCCCCCACAGGCCTTGATGTGTCCATCCCTGAGCTCCGTGGGGGAGTCCCAGAAGCCTTTACCAGAGCTGCCACTGCTCCTCTGGCTACACAGCTCCCAACCAACTACCTGGGCAGGACAGAGCCAGGGAAGACAGACAGCCCACTTCATCAAAAATAATTCCACTTTTTTTTTTTTTTAACATATTAGGCTGCTGGGAGTGTCAGTCGACATGGGGTCACCTGCAGCCTCAGAATCCTGAGGCTAGGCCACATCCAGAGTCAAGATAGGGCAGCCCTGGTCCCGAGACCCAGAGGCAGGACTTACCGCTGACCCGGCAGGGGGACGGCATCGAGGGGGTGGCCTCCAGGCAGTGCCATCATGTTGATCCCGATCTGCAGCAGAGCCTGCCCACAGTGGTCGGGGCCCTGCAAAGAGTGGACAGGTCAGGGCTAGCAAAGCCCTGAGAGAGGAGACGCCACCCCCTGCTCTCCTGACATGAGGAGACAAAGTAGACGTGGTGCAGAGACCCCCTAGGCCTCCTCCTCTTTTTTGAACCAGTCCACGCTGTCCTCATACAAGTAATGCCGGATGAACATTTGATCTCGGGTCTAAGTCTTTAGCCTACTGTGTGCCCCTATAATCTTATGTTCCACTGCCAAAACATTTTATTTTGTACCAAATAATGAGACATTAATTACTTGATAATAATGCAGGAGCCTGCAGTAAACATTTCAGGAGACATATTTGTATATAAAAGCTATCTGTGGTTTATCTGAAATGCACACTGAACTGTGCATCTTCAATGACTTGCTAAAGCTGCCAGCTCTGCATATGACGCCTGAGCTGTATGCCGTCACAGCGCTGGCTGATTCACTTTGATTACGTCTGGGACTTGTGATTCTGCAATGCGCATGGTGTTTGCTTCCCCAAATCCATTCCCCTTCTGCAGATGTAATTTCACCCAAACTGCCCTGAGGCATGTGACTCAGCTCAACCCAGGAGCTGTGGCAGGATTGCTTCTAGGAAGTTTTCTTTCTCCCAACTATAAGCAGAGATGAAACTGCACCTCTCTCACTGGACCTGAACAAACAGCCCATCACTTCATTGCTGCAAGAGACCATCTTGAAATCAAGACAGACAGCACTAGCTGGAGAACCAAGTTGGTGCAAGGGAAAAACATCAACCCTCAGTAATGGCCCAGACAAGGCTTCCGGTCATGTAAGGCAGAAGAAGGCTGTTATTGTTTCACTCAGTTTAAGTGAGGAATGCTGGTGTGTAAATCAAAAGCAGCCTCCATTGCCACCACTGAGGACCACTAGCTTGCCTGGGTCTCACAGGGTGGACCAGACACAGAGCCCTTCCTCCATAGTGCCAGCTGCCCACCTGTTTGTCTCCTCCTGCCTCACTGTGCCTTCCCCCTTCCTCTCTCTCTGCCAACTCCCTCTCCAAACCAATGGGGAAGCCTTTCCTGAGGAAAACGGAGATTCTGTTATTTTTGCCTGGGCAAAGCAACAAGACAGAGAGCTGACCATCGACTGGAATGCCCTGACCTTAAGGACAGAAGGCTCCATGACATTCAGAAAAAAATATAAGTAGGAACTTGTGGAAAGATACAGCTGAGGAGGCTGAGTAAAGTTCAGCAAAATTAAACTCTTACTCTATGATTGCAAGTGATCTTAAAAGAAAAGAACAGAGGAGGACTTGAATTAACAGTGATGTGGCTGGACAAAGGACCCTTATGATGCTTGGAATAAAGAATAGAAGTGTCCATCTGAAAAGTACAGGGAGGCAGGAGCCCAGAACAAACTAGGGTGCCACTGGTCTGTGGGCCCCCCTAGACTGAGAGTCCCTTTAGGGCAGGGAGCTCTGGGGTTCCTGGCACTGAGTCGTAAGCCAGACACTTAGCAAGCACTCTATGTGTCCCGAGACCCAGACTTGGGTGAGTGGGGTGAATCTTTAACATATTTTTATTGCACCCTATTTCTTCATCTGAACCAAGGAGAATGATATCTATTTTACAGGGTTATTATAACAGTAACACGACATATGGAAAGAAGAATCATCAGGCCAGGAGGAGAGCCAAATAAATAGTAGCTGTTATTATTATGCCCTGAGAGTCTGTTGTGTGCTCAGCCCCGAGGGAGCTGTGGAAGATGGGGTACAGCTCATAAAGCACCCAGCGCTATGGTCGTGTTCAATGAGTGTCATTATCATAGGCAGCATCACTGTACTTATCTCCACCATTATTGTCATTATTGAGAAGTACATTTTTTGGAGCCCGGTGAGTCAGCCACCTGAAAAGCACGGCATAAAAGAAAAAGTTAGAAACAACCAAATTAAACAGTAAGTGTGACTAAAGTACCAAAACTTTCCAGAGTGAGTAATGTGATGTATCAGAGAGTGGGGAGCAGGCAGCGCTTACTTTACTCCCCTTGTCATCATGGAGAAGAAAGGCGAGCAGAGTGAAATGATGAAGAGGGGTTTCAAGCTGAAGGCAGGCGAGGAGACAGAAACAGGAGGGAAGTTCCAGGGCTGTGTAACATGTGAGCTGGTTAGGATTCTGCAGGATGATGGAAAGCATGACCTAGAATATTGACGAATCTTCTGGATCTGAGGAAGTCTTACCTGAGGAACAGGAGAAAGAGAGAGCCATTGCGTGCCATCTGGATGCAAACAGATATCTGAATGTTTAGAGGTAGAATCTAGAAACACAGCTTGTTGACCATGAAATTCTAGAACAGATTTCTGACCACTGAAATGGGTGCTTTGAACAGAACCAGTGGGTGCTTTGAACAGGACCAGTGAGCTTGGGAAGCCAGCACAGTAGGCAGAGGGCCTGTTCAGATGATCTACTTACTTTTCATGAGGGTCCCCTGTATTCTCAGCAGGGGGGAATGCTATAAGCCAGTATGTCTTGGTTTCTGTGAAAGCATCCTAGTGAGATGCCCTGTTCATCCATTTAATTCATAGCTTCATTCATTCATTCATTCATTCAACTGCAGTTATTCTAGGGAGCCTGCCAGCTATCAGATTATATTATTATATATATCTGGTTTATACAATCACATGTGCTCCCAGACAGGGGACTCCCTTGGGGCCATCTGCCCTGAACACGTATCACTGTCATTGCTCTGTTAACACTGTACTATTTATGACTGCTTTTGCCCCTCAACAGGACAAGACTCTTTGATGTCTGAAAGTACATCTTGCTTAATGTGGGGCTGGGCACAGGACACTAAACAATGACCTGCATGGTAAAGAGACAGGACAGAGAATCAGATTAGTTTTTAGAGGAGCCACAGCTATTCACTGGAGAGGAGCAATAGGAAAGCGAGTATCTGGATGGCAAGATAGGGACAATCAAGAATTTAACCCAGCCAATGTTTATAAAGTGCCTCTAGCAACAACAAGCATAGATAATGTTATTCGAGTGGGCACTTGGTGCCAAGCACTGTTCTAAATGCATCATATAACATTAACTGATTTAACAGCATCATCATCACTTTGTGACAGATGAGAGCCCAGAAATGTAGTGCAAGCAAGAGGATTGCCCAAGTCACATAGCTGGTAGGTGTATCCAGTATTTATGATCGGAGTGGAGGTTCTGGAGCAAGTGAAGACAATGAGAGCCAGACACAAGTGCCACATGTCCAGCAGTTGCTAACAGGCAGCCTGAGTCCATTCCATGGCAGCAGCAGTCAACCCTCACCCCCTTAAGGGGAGCCCAGTACTCTTCCATGCTTCTACCTCCCAGCTTTATCAGTGGCATCGGTGACACAGCCTGCAGACAGAAGAACAGTCCTCAAAGGCAGGAGACAAAGAGCAAGCACTGCACTCAGCTGATAGGAGGAAGAGGCTGTGGACAGCCGACCTCACGTATCGGTTCCTTTCATAAAAGTCACACCCAGAGAGATAAGTGCCAAAGGGATTGGAAAGGGGACAGTGCAGTCCCAGCTACAGCCTCAGAGTGTCACTAGCTATATAGAGAGCCCTGATTCAAGTAAGTTGATTTCAGGGTAGCCCCCAAGGACTGCAGCCACCCCCTCCCACTGCCCTAAGCCTGACTCATTTTAATGAGCAGAGACTCAGAGCAAAACCTCTGACTCAGAGACTCCAAAGCTACAAAGCAAGTCAATAGTGGAGTCAAAGCAACTTCTTTGCCCTATGTCATGTGTCCTTGCTGGTGGTGCAAAAAGGAAAAAAAACTAAAAAAAAAAAAAAAAAAAAAAAAAAAAACCCCACAACCTTAAATTTTGCAGTCTAATAGGTCTGGATCCAAATCCTGACTGTACCTCACTAATACATGACCTTGGGAAAATCACCAACCCCCATGAATGTGGTTTGCTCTATTACACCTGCCTCCCAAGTGCAAAAGATCCAATAATTAATACAATATAATGATATCATGAACTTGATGCCTGGTAGCCTAAAAGGGAAAGTATCCTTTGTGGAAGGAGGAGGTGAGAAATGGGTATCAGAGTAGAGATGCTATTTTGCCAATGAGAGAGATAAAAAGAGAGTGAGCAGGGAAAGGAAATCCCAAGCCCCTCCCCACTCCCCTCCCCAGGGCCAGTCCTAATTCATTAGACCAGCAGACTTGTTTCTGCAGAGTTCTCAGCTCTGCCTCCCCCACCAAAGTGGCTAGTTTACAAGGATTCAAAGCCTTAAATGTCTCCGATTTAATTCAACACCTGCTGAGACAATCACCCACTTGGTCAGTTCATTTCTGCTACGGCTTCCCATTATAGGTAGTCGTGCTCGCACCTCTATTTGACTAACAAGTCAGCCTGGACTCAGGAGGAAATGCAGGCTATTTGCAGTAAATTATTTCATTAGAACCAGAAGCAAGGGCGGCTTCCGTCACCAACTAATGGGCCGATCCATGTACATACAGCTCAAGGCATGGATTGTTTAATCTGCAGAATCCATTAGGGCTGTCAACAGGGGCTGGACAGTAAATATCGTGCAGTTTAGCTCCAGACGCAGCAGTAGGTGCACAGAGGATATAGCAGCAGGGTAGGAGCGGACTGCGACCCTGGGATCCAGACAAGTCCCTCATTATGATTCCCTGTACTCCCCCCTATTATTTCCCCTCTGTAGAAGTTACCACAATTGCAATTAAATAATTAACTACTAGATCAGTAGCATAACGTCTTTTCCTGATGCCAGGAGCAGGGCTTAGAGGTCTGTCCTGCTCCTGGCTGGAGCTAGTGCCCTGCCTGACACAGTGTCTGGTGCCCAACCATCAAGAGACACTTGCTGACTGAGCGAATGGGTTCTTCTTGAAGAACCTCCACTTTCTCTCTGGTAAAAGAAAACCAGGGTACCTATTTCACTACATTTTTATTAGATGTCTGTGGGAGGACATTTTGCAACCTGACACACAGCACTGAAAGACTCTGCATTCTAACAGGCTTTGAGACAA